CGGCGAAGTCTGCAACGTATTTCTGTAGTTGTTGGGGTTGCTGTATCATACTCGTCCAGCCCCGCTTCCGATCCCCTCGCGCACGCATCGCCCCGCGTCTGACCGCTCTCTACAGCAGCGCCGCGCCTCTGCTTTCGCCTCACCCCGCACGCACCTGTAGCCAGCAGCTCTTGCGCTCGACCGAAGCCTCGTGGTCCCTTGCATGCCTGTGCAGCCGCCGTGTCCGAAGCGAGCCCGAGCTCGTCCTTGGGATCCCGCACACCCGAACCTGTGCGCTGCACCCTGAACCTTTCCGCCCGCCCGCCGTAGCTCTGCATCCACCGCAGGCGCCATGCTTGCTCGTTGCCGTCGCCGCCGAGATCCCCGTGCGCGCTTCAGTTTGGGTCTTGGTCGCGTTGCACATACGCTTTACCTTGCGCCGGTCTCCCTTTGCATCACCAACACAAGGCTAGCCCAGTGGCTAGCGCAGCCAGTATCCATCCAGGAGGTCTGGGGTTCGAGACCCAGCTGGCCCATATTTTGGCTCTGTTTTCCTGTTATTTTGCACACACCCACAACTGCTTGGGCCAAATCCTACTCGGCCACTGCCACTATTTCAGATTCAGCCCGATGTTATATTTTTCCCAGTCTGTGATTTTTGTCATATCTAGTGCTTGCATATTTTCAGAACTGCCATTGTTTTGCATTGCTCATATTTAAATATGCATGCATCCAAATTGAACAATAACTTGACTAGAATTTCATCTATTTTTATAATATCCAACTTTCAACCATGTTTAAAATGTTTAAAATGCTGCTTGTTTAAACTTGCTTAATTAACTTGATAAAATGATTTATTTCATAATTAAATAACCGTAGCTCGGTTTTTAATAAACTTTATATGTAATGTGATTTTTGTCATATCTAGTGCTTGCATATTTTCAGAACTGCCATTGTTTTGCATTGCTCATATTTAAATATGCATGCATCCAAATTGAACAAACTATATATGTAACTTGACTAGAATTTCATCTAGTTTCATAATATTCAACTTTCAACCATGTTTAAAATGTTTAAAATGCTGCTTGTTTAGACTTGCTTAATTAACTTGCTAAAATAATTTATTTCATAACTAAATAACCGTAGCTCGGTTTTTAATAAACTTTATATGTAAATGGGGTAGAAAAATGCCTAGATTATCATGATGGCTTTACTTTGCATGTTTAACAACTCTAAAATTATGTTTAGGTAGAACAGTACCAAACCTAATATATGCATATGGAGTTTCCGGACTTGTTGTTTTGTTGTTCCGGCCTCATTTAAACTTGCCTAGATTAGATAGTTTCATCATGCTTCCCCTCTTGCCATTGTTTAACAACATTTAATATTGTTGGGTACATAAACAAGATCGAACTAAATAACTTGAATGTGGTGTTTCCTCAATATGCAACGAAGTTGCATATTAAGCTCCACTTAATTTGTAGGGTTGTTTGTGCACTTTGCCATGCCATGCTTCATTAAACCGAACATGCATCATACTTGTTTGTGCATCATGCCATGATTATGTGGTGGTTGTTTACTATGTTGTTTGCTCTTTCCGGTGTTGCTTCTTCGGGTTGGTTCCGATAACGTCGCGTTTGTGAGGACCCGTTCGACTACGCCCGTTTGTCTTCTTCATGGACTCGTTCTTCTTCCTTACGGGATTTCAGGCAAGATGACCATACCCTTGAAATCACTTCTATCTTTGCTTGCTAGTTGCTTGCTCTTTTGCTATGCCTATGCTGCGATACCTACCACTTGCTTATCATGCCTCCCATATTGTTGAACCAAGCCTCTAACCCACCTTGTCCTAGCAAATCGTTGTTTGGCTATGTTACCGCTTTGCTCAGCCCCTCTTATAGCGTTGTTAGTTGCAGGTGAAGATGAAGTTTGTACCTTGTTGGTACATGGATATGTTGTTCCTTGTTGGAACATGTTTACTTGTTGGGCTATCACAATATCTCTTATCTAATTAATGCATCTATATACTTGGTAAAGGGTGGAAGGCTCGGCCTTATGTCTGGTGTTTTGTTCCACTCTTGCCGCCCTAGTTTCCGTCATATCGGTGTTATGTTTCCAGATTTTGCGTTCCTTACGCGGTTGGGTGATAATGGGAACCCCTTGACAGTTCGCCTTGAATAAAACTCCTCCAGCAATGCCCAACATTGGTTTTACCATTCGCCACCTAGCCTTTTTTCCTTGGGTTTCGTGGACTCAAGGGTCATCTTTATTTTAAATCCCCCCGGGCCAGTGCTCCTCTGAGTGTTGATCCGAAACGGGCAGCCTGCGGGGCCACCTTGGGGCAACTCGAGGGTTGGTTTTACTCGTAGCTTGACCTATCCGGTGTGCCCTGAGAACGAGATATGTGCAGCTCCTATCGGGATTTGTCGGCACATCTGGGTGGCTTTGCTGGTCTTGTTTTACCATTGTCGAAATGTCTTGTAACCGGGATTCCGAGTCTGATCGGGTCTTCCCGCTAGAAGGAATATCCTTCATTGACCGTGAGAGCTTGTGATGGGCTAAGTTGGGACACCCCTGCAGGGTTTTGAACTTTCGAAAGCCGTGCCCGCGGTTATGGACAGATGGGAATTTGTTAATGTCCGGTTGTAGAAAACCTGAGGTTGACCTTAATTAAAATGCACCAACCGCGTGTGTAACCGTGATGGTCTCTTTCCGGCGGAGTCCGGGAAGTGAACACGGTGTTGGAGTAATGTCTGACGTAGGTTGTTCTAGGATCACTTCTTGATCATAGTTGTTCGACCGTGCTTTTTCCTTCTCTTCTCGCCCTCTTTTGCGAATAGGTTAGTCACCATATATGCTAGTCGCTTGCTGCAGCTCCACCTCATACCTTTTACCTTACCCATAAGCTTAAATAGTCTTGATCGCGAGGGTGTGAGATTGCTGAGTCCCCGTGACTCATAGATTCTTCGAAAACCAGCTTGCAGGTGCCGTTGAACCGTGCAGATGACGCAACCAAGCTCAAGGAGGAGCTCGATGAAGATCTTGCCCTTTGTGTTGTTTTGTTCTAGTTGATCAGTAGTGGAGCCCAGTTGGGGTCGATCGGGGATCTGTGTAGTATTTGGGGTAGTCTTCTTTTATTTTGGTTCCGTAGTCAGACCGTGATTATATCTGGTTGATGTAATGCTTTATTCATGTAATTGTGTGAAGTGGCGATTGTAAGCCAACTATGTATCTCTTTCCCTTATGTATTACATGGTTTGTGTGAAAATTACCTCACTTGCGACATTTCTTTCAATGCGGTTATGCCTCTAAGTCGTGCTTCAACACGTGGGAGATATAGCCGCATCGAGGGCGTTACAGGGGCGCCCCCCACCCTCGTGAGAAGGGTGTGGGCCCCCTGGTCTTCATCTTTGGCGAGAATTTTTTATTGTTTTTCTAAGATGTTCCGTGGAGTTTCAGGTCATTCCAAGAATATTTGTTTTCTGCACATAAAACAACACCATGATAATTCTGCTGAAAACAGCGTCAGTCCAGGCTAGTTCCATTCAAATCATACAAGTTCGAGTCCAAAATAAGGGCAAAAGTGTTTGGAAAAGTAGATACGACAGAGACGTATCACTGATTTCTGTTTGGCAACGATGATGGCGTCGAGAGGAGTTTTGGTCGCGACTCGACCTTCGGTAGTCGGATCTTCCCGGCGTGTCCGAGGTGCTCTTCCGTTGGTCGCTTGGTTGCTTTGAAGTCGGAGCTGCGATGGAGTGTGTCCATGCGGTGACGATGACAGGCGCTCGGTGGTCAGCTATGGTGGGCACGGTCGGCGCAAGTCCTGCATATTTCCCTTGTGATGATCGTCGTCAGAGTTGGAGCTGTCAGTTGTTCGCGCGTGTGGCCTTCTGTTGGCATGAGCCGTCATGGTTTCGGTGCGGCTGCCTCTTTGTAGCTCTGTGATCCCATGTCGGTGGTCAGGTTGGCCGGTGGTACCCATGTTATATGGGTTGGATTGTACCGGTTTTAGCCTGGTTTTCCGTCAATTAACCGGGCAATTCTCATTCCTTCTTAATCAATGAAAATGGCAAGTCTTTTGCCTCGTTTCAAAAACATTCACAAATCGATATCATTAGATGCGTCATGACTTCAATTTTCATATAGTACAACTTTAGCATTGTAGATGTTGATATTTGTTCATATAAATATGGTCAAATTTTACGAAGTTTGACTTCGGACAATTCTTATATGCAGAGTAAAAAGGACCGGAGGAAGTATTATGGGACGGAGATAGTATTTATATACTTAACTCATCACACATACCACCTCATCAATTCACACTAACTATATTTCTCCCAGCATGCATGAAAAATACTACTTATATTCTATATGTACTCCCTTTATTTTTATTTACTTTGTATTATATATATTAGGTTTGTCTAAAATCAAACTTTATATACTTTCAAAACTTTATAGAAAAATATATTAACATATACACCACTAAATCAATACCATTGGATTCATCATTGCATATATTTTCACGTCGTATAAATTTGTTACTATAAATGTTTATACTATTTTCTATAAACTTGGTCAAACTTTATAAAGTTTGACTTCAGTCAAAGCTAACATATATATTTTTGAGACATGTCAAAGCTAACATATTGTCACGGGGTAGCTTTTTTTTTTCGAGCACTGTCACGGGGTAGCCAATTATTTCCTAGATTCTCGTCGAGAGCCCATTGTGCGTGATTAGGCCCTGTTTCAACACCGGGATTCCTTACAAGATCATGGCCCGACCCAACCGGTTGAAAGCCTGGCCCATCGCGCAACCTCGGTTTTCCACATCTCCACGAGACCACTCCCATCTCTAGAACTTTCTTCCTCGCCTCCGCCTCCACCTCCGCCCCCCTTCCTCCTCCCAGCTCCAAACCCAGGAAACCCTCGCCTCCCCTCCCCTCCCCTCGCGGCGTCCTCTTCCCGCCGCCCGAATCCCACCCCAGCCGGGGCCGAGCTAGAAGGAGGAGCGGAGCAAGATGCCCCCGAAGAAGGCGGCGGCGTCGAAGGCCGACGTCGCGAAGAAGCAGAAGGTCGTGGAGGACAAGACCTTCGGGCTCAAGAACAAGAACAAGAGCAAGAACGTCCAGAAGTACGTCCAGTCGCTGCACCAGTCCGTCCAGCCCAAGCCCGACCCGACCAAGACCGCCGCCAAGGCATGGGGGAACACTCAGATCGAAGCTGTCAATACCCTCATCCGATTGCTCTGCTCCTCTAACCTTTTATTTTTCTTGTTTGTGGATGTGGATGCGGATGCGCAGAAGAAGAAGGAGGAGGAGAAGGCGCGCGAGAAGGAGCTCAACGATCTGTTCAAGGTCGCCGTCAGCCAGCCCAAGGTCCCCGTTGGTATGGCCTCCTCCCTTTGTCACCCAGTTTTGAGTGTATAGGTCTCTTCTAGTGGATTTATCAAGAATCCCTTGCTGTGGATATGAAGTTGTTGTGAATTGATTTTTGGTGTATACGGTAGTATGGAAGTGCTTCTGATAATACTGGTGATTGGTGTTGATTTGTTCTAATGTAGGAAGGGTTTGGTCAGTTCTTTCTATGTAAACATGTTAGCTCTTTCAAGTCCTGCAGATTGCAAATTGAAATTGCAATGTTTCATCAGGACATTTTGGTACTGGTAGTTTGTTCAAAAGATTGCTATTCTTGTGATAAATGCTCATGCTTTGGTTGTGTGCTATTGTGCAGGTGTCGACCCCAAGTCGATACTTTGCGAGTTCTTCAAGGTTGGACAATGTCAGAAGGGTTTTAAATGCAAGTTCTCACACGACCTGAATGTCCAAAGGAAGGGTGAGAAGATTGATATTTACAGCGACAAGCGTGATGGAGGTAAATAAATCATTGTTACTTCTTTCGTATTGGAGTCATTCAATTTTCTCGGTAGAAATTCACATGTTCCTCTGTCATGTACAGAGGAAGAAGATACAATGGATGACTGGGATCAGGAGACCCTTGAGAAAGTTATTGCATCAAAAAACGCAGAGTACCAGCAGAACAAACCTACTGATATTGTATGCACTATTCCGAAACTGTTATACACATTTTTCAAGCATTTCTCATTATATGATGTGTCACTTTCAACTTTCATTTTGCTCTAAAAGAATAAATAATTAGTACTAATGTTCTCGTTGGTAATATTTGAGCTAGATGATACTATATTGGTTCTATTTTACTATTTATATTTTGTCTTCAATTCATGTTTTGCGCTCTTATTTTAGGAGGAATATATGCATTTCAAATATAAAGCAGTAATGCTTTTTACACCTATTATCATGCATTTTCCTGTGATGCCAATAAGCCATTTTTCCGCTGTATATGATTTCCAGTTGATTTTCTTTAATCTGGATGCAGATGCAATTTCTTTTGGCCAATCACATCAATTAGTAGTTATTTTAGTTGCTAGAGCCCATGGATTATGAGTCCCAAGGACTAGTCGATAGACTACTCTATGAGTCTCAACTCCAGGGCCGACTACACTTCAGTGTCGACTAGTCTATGAGTCGCAACTTCAGTGTTGACTAGTGTCATTTAGTTATGCTTAAGTCTATGATTCTCAACCTCGGAATGACTTGTAAACCTTGCTAGAGCCAGTGAGCCACTACGGGCGCACCTAGTCTATTTTCACAAGTGATCAGATTGATATAATCTAATTTATAGGCACGTTGTAACTTCTGTAGGCCGCAGTGTGGTTAAGATTTGTTGTTATCAAGGATTCCGAGTAGAATTCTGTGACACATTGATTATACACAATCATAATCTCCAGAAGGCAGCAACATTATCACGTAGTAACTAAACACACTTGCTATGCTAAAACTCATTAAAGAGGTTCTGTTATTTGCGGATAGCGGATTTACTCACTTATATTGCATAAGAATACATTGATACTGATAATAATTCTTCAGTTCTATGCTAATTAACATTTTTCATCGTGTTTGCATCATAACCCTGTTATGACGACATAATCAGTTTCTCCATTTCTTTTTTTTCATTGTTTAACTTGGTTGTTATAAACTTGCATTGTCTCACTATGTTTAAAGGACAACACTCATAGGACACCATCCCGAGTTAAAACAAAAATACAGTGCTGAGCACAGCATTAAACACTACTTATTTTCCTATTTATCAGATTCTGGTCCGCCCCATTGATACGTACCACTAAGTGAAATTAGGAATGCTATCTTTGTTTTCCCATCCTCAAAGCATTCGTGTTTTTTAGCAGGATGATGATTTTGCTAATTATTTTCTTCTGTAGGTTTGCAAGCACTTTCTTGATGCTGTGGAGAAGAAGCAGTATGGGTGGTTTTGGGTTTGTCCAAATGGCGGCAAGGAGTGCCGCTACAGGCATGCCCTTCCGCCTGGTTATGTACTAAAGTCTCAGATGAAAGCCTTACTAGAGGAAGAGAGTAAAAAGGTTGCAATTGAAGATGAGATTGAAGACCAGGTAAAATGAAGATTAGCATAAATCCTTCCTGTCTGCAACTGTGAAACTCTTGTTCCTTGTCTGTTGTCTAAATGACTTTTTTGGCATTGCCGTGACATTCTCTACTTCTTGTTCATTTAACAGCGCAGAAAGGTTCAAACCACAACCCCTATGACTACAGAATTGTTCATGGAATGGAAAAGGAGGAAGGCAGAAGAAAAGGAAGCTGGTCTGGCGGCCTTGAGGGCAGATAGGGCTAAGAATGACCGTATGAGGTAATAACCTTATCTTCTTCTAGTGACATGTTTTGACCTGTGAGCCCTTGTGGTACTTAATGTAACTATGCTTGTTCTTGTATCCAGTGGTCGCGAGTTGTTCATGGCCGATGCAAGTGTGTTTATTGATGATGCTGAAGCATATGAAGTTTATGAAAGACGTGAAGAGCCACAAGACAACCAGGAACAGGTTAAAATTTCCCTCCTTTACTAAATCGGCTGTTTATTCACCAGTGTGATGATCAATTACAAATATCCTAGCATGATCTGATTGTGAGAGCAGAATGAGTCTTGGCCTTTAGAACAAGAAAGCTACGATATAATTTCTGTTAAAAGTACCTGGGGGCAGCCACTCCCACATTTTGTCATAGTTTCTGCTGCCCCAGAAACTTCCAAAGTAGTTACCTTGAGTTGCCTGTTATGGACTAGATTTTCAGTTGAGGGAGGGCCATTTGCCTCCAAGGTGAGGCGAGGTAGAAGGAGAATTCTTTCTATTTTCTTGCTGAACAAATTTTCTTGGCTACTCCTTTTATGGAACATGATCTGACTAGTTTAGCCTTTCTTAGTCTACTAGGACTCCTCTTTTTTTTAATGTAACGACCTAAATCATCTTAACTTGAATTTTGAAGTTGCTTACTGCACATACCGTGTGGTATCAACTAGGACTCCTCTAATTTAGCAATTCTGTCACAGCTAAATTAGACTCCAACAGGTTCCCTTGCGTGCACATGCTCTCTTTAACTACTTCAGCCTATCCTGTCCCCTTGTGTAGTCCTGGAAAAAATAGTTTGAATGGTCATACTCGGCATATTTTCAAAGAAACTAATAAAAGAAGAAATATGTGAAGCACCATTCCTGATGTGATTTGTACTTTTTGTTACTTTAAAATTTTAAAATGCTAAAACATAATTTGGCATATCTACACATGTGTGCGATGTGGGATGTGTGTTTGGTTTGAGCCCAAGCAAGCTACCCATTTGTCCTCTTGCTAGCCCAAATTTTGGTTAAGGGTTCTGTTGCCCATAAGGTTTGCCCAGTTGGGATGAGGTGGTGTTATTCTTTTGTTGTTTGAATTTGAATTGGTTCTTAATTGATTCGATTTGAGAATTTAATAAGATGTCAGAAATCTTGGTATTCAAAAGGGGTGTTTGTTTTTAAAATCTAAGGTTCAAGAAGGGGCTCCATGAAGAAATATCGAGACTTCTAATTGTCATTCCATTTTTATCTTGCATCTTATGTTACCTTCATACACTAAAGAAAAGGCTACTTATTCTAGTGAGAATCAGAATGAATAGGTTGACCAGAAATCAATTTGGCTAGGGGAAAGGCCTGAAGGGCAGTGTTAGGGGGGTGGGTAATGGTGTAGATCCATCAACATCATGTCTGGTCAGCAATTCCCGTGAGGTGATAGTGTGCATTATGCATGCTTGTCAAGAAATAAATTAATAGACAAAACTGTAAGGACGGATCAAAGAAGTAATCTGTCATCACACTAAGATTTTGTTTGTGTTACATACACACCTGAGATTATACTGTTTGAGATTCATCTTGCATTTAATTTGGTACCATATAATTTTAACTAGCTATATGATTTCTTGAAAAAATAGTTAACTTGCTATATCTCCTAGCCTTTGGTATGTAAAAAAGGAAATAAGCAGGCCTGGAATCTAGTGGTAAGAATTGGAATTGTACATGTGTTATGGATTCAATGCTGCAAAGTTTTTGTTATTCATTAGTGCTAGTTTAAAGCGATTTGCTTTAGTGCATACATTAGTATGGAATTTAACATAGTATAACAAACATGCACGCTGATCTACACAAATGTTATTCAATACGTTAGTCTCTATTGATGTATATGTTTTAAACTTGCTTCCACAGGGCAAGAAAAGTCAGGATGAAGGTCCAAGCTCATCAACCTCTAATGGCAAGGAGGCTGATGAGGAGCCGGATGATGAAGATCTAGATGATGACGATGACCTAGACCTTGACGAATTAAATGAACTCGAAGCAAGCCTGTCAAGAACTTCCATTCAAATTCGGGAACCAGGTGAGGGGACATCATCTTGAACAGGGAGGTCATTGAGAAGTCGTACTCCATTTTTGCGCTCCAAATCGGCCTACTTGCTTTATTAGACACAAAAGGGTGGAGCATAGATGCAAGTGGACATTAGTTTCAAGTGACTATGATCATCATCTGTTTTGAGGGAGCAATGATTAACTGACGATGCCCAGTGTTAAGATCGCATGACATTTGATGTTTCCTGTGTTGCCTTGTTGTCTTTGTGGGAGTTATTTTGCTACTTTGTGAATAACAGCACCAACGTTTTTCTAGCCTCGTGCAAAACCTATACGGAAAACCTTGGTGCGGACCTATTTATAAGTGGTGGCCCAGGATTGTAGTCTTTTTACCCCCTTTGTTTAAGAGAATTTGTGGATCTTTGATCACCTTGGGGTGTGTGTGCATCGAGAATCAGCACATTTCTGTTGGTTTCTTTTTTGTAAATTCCATTTTGCTTTTTGCTTTTTTATTTTCCCACGATTTACTCAATGACGGGATACGTTAATGTGGCGTATCTTCGAGAACCAGGGCTTACTCAGATGTCAGAATGCAACGTGTGTCAGCATACACAACGTATTCGGGCGTGTTTCGGCACAAATTGAACATAAGCTATTTTTATCATATTCATCATAGATAATAAGTAGAAATCAAATAGTTCAATACAAATTATATAATTCAAAAAATAGTTCACCAAATAAAAACTTATATTTCATCACACATTTGATCTTTTGACCAGGTCTAAGCGGGGTACCGGATAACAACAAATCGAGATTGGAGCACACTAAATGCCCGCTCGACATTCTTCCTGCAAGCCTCCTGAACCTTCGCAAAGTGGGAGTTCTTGCCTCTTGATACAGAGTTTGAGATAGTCTTCACAAATGTGGACCATCTCGGATAGATGCCATCTGCTAGGTAGTATCTCTTGTTGTAGTGCCGCCCATTGACCTCGAAGTTCACCGGAGGAGAATGACCTTCAACAAGCTTAGCAAAGACAGGGGAGCACTGCAGTACGTTGATGTCATTGTGAGTTCCTGGCATATCAAAGAAGGAGTGCCAAATCCATAGGTCGTGTGTGGCCACTATCTCAAGTACCACACTGCAACCGCGCTTGGCGCCTTTGTACATCCCCTGCCATGCAAATGGACAATTTTTCCATTTCCAATGCATGCAGTCGATGCTTCCAAGCATCCCAGGAAATCCTCTTGCTGCATTCTGTGCTAGGATCCGAGCAGTGTCTTCAGCATTGGGTAATCACAAGTATTACGGTTCAAACACTACCACCACTGCCCTGCAGAACTTGTAGAAACACTCAGTGGTCGTGGACTCGGCCATGCGCCCATAGTCTTCTAGTGAATCACCGGGAGCTCCGTATGCCGCAAGCATCCTCATAGCTGTCGTGCACTTCTGAAGTGAGGTGAATCCAAGTGTGCCGGTGCAATCCTTCTTGCACTTGAAGTAGCTGTCGAACTCTCGGATGGAATTCACAATCCCGAGGAAGAGCTTTCAGCTCATTCGATAACGTCGACGAAACACTTTGTCGCCGTGCAGTGGAGCGTCGGTGAAGTAGTCGGAGTAGAGCAAGCAATAGCCCTCCAGCCAATGCCTCTGCTTTGCCTTTAGCCGGCCCGACGCCGAGCCACCTCGCCGTGGCTTTGCATTGCTCGCGAGCAGGCTGGCCAGGGCGGCGATGACCATGAGATGCTCTTCATCCCGGGTTTCGGCATCGCCTTCCTCCTCCAGCAGCGCCGCGAACGCCTCCTCGTCGTCCGAGTCCATCGCCGAGCAGACAAATCACCGAACACCTAGCGGGCGTGGTAGGCGCGCAGCCGTCGGTAACCCGCCCTGCACGGCCGGAGCGCCGGAAAGCTCGCCCAGGAACGGGGTGGATGATGCCGCGGCGGAACCCTCTCTCTTTTCCAGCGAGGGAATGGCCTATCTAGCGGTGGTTAGGGGGGGGGAGGGTCGGCGCCGGACCGGCAAGGCAGCGGGAGGTGATATGTCTCCAACGTATCTATAATTTTTGATTGCTCCATGCTATATTATCTACTGTTTTGGACAATATTGGGCTTTATTATCCACTTTTATATTATTTTTGGAACTAACCTATTAACCTAGAGCCCAGTGCCAGTTTCTGTTTTTTCCTTGTTTTAGAGTATCGCAGAAAAGGAAAATCAAACGGAGTCCAATTGACCTGAAACTTCACGGAACTTATTTTTGGAAGGAAAGCAACCTGATGGACTTGGAGTGCATGTCAGGAAAGAAACGAGGGAGCCACGAGGTAGGGGGGCGCGCCCACCCCCCTAGGGCGTGCCCTCCACCCTCGTGGGCCCCTTGTGGCCCCCTTGACGTACTTCTTCCGCCTATATATCTTCATATACCCTAAAAACATCGGGGAGCACAATAGATCGGGAGTTCCGCCGCCAGAAGCCTCCGTAGCCACTGAAAGCCAATCTAGACCCGTTCCGGCACCCTGCCGGAGGGGGCAATCCCTCTCCGGTGGCCATCTTCATCATTCCGGTGCTCTCCATGACGTGGATGGAGTAGTTCTCCCTCGGGGCTGAGGGTATGTACCAGTAGCTATGTGTTTGATCTCTCTCTCTCTCTCTCTCTCTCTCGTGTTCTTGAGGTGATACAATCTTGATGTATCGCGAGATTTGCTATTATATTTGGATCCTATGATGTTTCTTCCCCCCTCTACTCTCTTGTAATGGATTGAGTTTCCCTTTTGAAGTTATCTTATCGGATTGAGTCTTTAAAGATTTGAGAACACTTGATGTATGTCTTGCCGTGCGTATCTTTGGTGACAATGGGATATCACGTGATTCACTTGATGTATGTTTTGGTGATCAACTTGCGGGTTCCGCCCATGAACCTATGCATAGGGGTTGGCACACGTTTTCGTCGTGATTCTCCGGTAGAAACTTTGGGGCACTCTTTGAGGTTCTATGTGTTGGTTGAATAGATGAATCTGAGATTGTGTGATGCATATCATATAATCATGCACACGGATACTTGAGGTGACATTGGAGTATCTAGGTGACATTAGGGTTTTGGTTGATTTGTGTCTTAAGGTGTTATTCTAGTACGAACTCTAGGGCTGTTTGTGACACTTATAGGAATAGCCCAACAGATTGATTGGAAAGAATAACTTTGAGGTGGTTTCGTACCCTACCATAATCTCTTCGTTTGTTCTCCGCTATTAGTGACTTTGGAGTGACTCTTTGTTGCATGTTGAGGGATAGTTATGTGATACAATTATGTTATTATTGTTGAGAGGACTTGCACTAGCGAAAGTATGAACCCTAGGCCTTGTTTCCTATCATTGCAATACCGTTTATGCTCACTTTTATCATTAGTTACCTTGCTGTTTTTATATTTTCAGATTACAAAAATTATTATCTACTATCCATATTGCACTTGTATCACCATCTCTTCGCCGAACTAGTGCACCTATACAATTTACCATTGTATTGGGTGTGTTGGGGACACAAGAGACTCTTTGTTATTTGGTTGCAGGGTTGCTTGAGAGAGACCATCTTCATCCTACGTCTCCTATGGATTGATAAACCTTAGGTCATCCACTTGAGGGAAATTTGCTACTGTCCTACAAACCTCTGCACTTGGAGGCCCAACAACGTCTACAAGAAGAAGGTTGTGTAGTAGACATCAAGCTCTTTTCTGGCGCCGTTGCCGGGGAGGTGAGTGCTTGAAGGTATATCTTTAGATCTTGCAATCGAGTCTTTTAGTTTCTTGTTTTATCACTAGTTTAGTTTATAAAAGAAAACTATAAAAAGATGGAATTGAGTTTGTCTCATATGCTTCACCTTTTTAATATCTTTCGTGAGTATGATGGAAAGGATAATTGTGCTCAAGTGCTAGAAAAAGAAATCTATAAAATGTTTGGCACTAAATAAGTGAATGATGAGCATGATTGCAATGTTGTTAGTATGAATTCTTTGAATATCCATGATACTAATGATGATTGCACTAGTTATGATGTCTCCTATAAACATGTCATTTTTTGTGGAGTACATTGGGTTTGTAAGTACACACCAAATAGGGAAGATAGATATTGCAAGAGGCATAAGTACTTAGAAACCAAATTGTTGCAAGAAAAGCTAGATGAATATGCTAAAAATTTAAATTATCTTGGCCATACTTGTGAGCTTTGCAATGAACATGATCATTTCAATACCCAATGCAAATTGTTTCATGATCGTATCGTGTCCAAAAATTATGTTGACTTGATTTCCCTTGCACATCATAATGAACTTAGTTTGCTCTTGGGTTATGAAGAACTGAAACGTATAACTAAGGATATTCCAAAATTTGCCCTTGATAGAGTTCTTCATTTTGATCTATAGGAAATTTATATGTATTGTGCGGTGAATTGTATTGAAAATCCTTATATTGCCAACTACATAAAGAAAAGAAAACAAATAGAAGATGAAGAGAATAATAATGAAAGGGAAGAGACTTCCCAATATCCTCCTATTATTTCTTATGATGAATCAGGTAACGAGGAGGAGCCTCCTATTCAATGAATCTCATTAATAAGGAGCTCCAAAAAGAGGATTGAACCCACATATGATGTGGTGAAGAAGAAAAGAAAAAAGAAGAGAGGTAAAAAGATATCTCTCCCAAATAGTGCTGCTCCTATTACTATTGTGCCTCATGAAAATATAATTGTGGAAGATAATGCTACTTCTTATGATCTTGAAAACCTTTTTGTCACTTGCTTGGAAGAATATGATAATTGCTATACTATTGGTGCTATCCATACTATTAATGATGAGAGTGATTATGCTTATGATATGAAAAGGCCCAAGCTTGGGGATGCTATGTTTGATGAAGATGATGTTTTTGAGAATATATTTGCTGCAATTAATGTCAGTCCCAAGCTTGGGGATGCTATGTTTGATGAAGATGATATTTTTAGTCTCCCAAGTTTTGATATGCAAATTTATAATGATGATAGCATACCTCCTACTTATGATGATTATTGTGA